GCCAGCAGGCAAGCAGGGGGGGCAGTTGGGGGTGATCAGGCTGGCAGGGGGCATTTGGGGGCAAGCAGGCCGGCGGCGGGGGGAAGTTGGGAAGAGTAGGCCAGCGGGCAGAGTGGTTAGGGGCAATCAGGCAAGCAGGCAGGCAGGTGAGCGGTTAGGAGCCAGCAGTCCCAGATTGCGAGAGGGATGTCCAAATGCTGGTTTAGGTCTGATCCCTGTAAACTGGCAGTAGGACATCTTTCGAGGGGTCCCAAATTAGAGAGGGTGCAGGCCAGGCTGAGGAACATACCCTCCCCTGTGCATGAATTTTGTGCACCGGGCCACTAGTATGTTAAATAGTTTCATGTTTCCCTGTGGCCCTTCAACAATTCAGGCCAAATTATGAGGCCTAGTTGCCAAGGAATATGAGTACAAGAAGACATGTACATGGTAGCTAAAAAAAAAAAAAGTAAACAAAAGTAAAAAAGAGAAGGTTATAACACAGAGAGAGACTCCATCACCAAGAAAAGGAAAGGATAAAGCTTTTCATAAAGGAAAGAGAGAAAGTGGAAGAGAGAAAGAGTAGGTCAGTGTCTTTCTTTGTGCCCAGTCTCCTCAGGTTGAAGGAAGAAGAGGAAGAACCCGAGAGCCTGAGCATTTACCCAAGAGAGTGAGTTAACATAAAAGAGACTTTTAAACTGCAAAAGAAGAATACATCTTAATTGTCAAGCTTACTGTTTTTCCTGTTAATAGCAGAAAGAAATTTGGAGCAACTAAAGAAAATTAAGAAGCCACAAATTATTTCACCATTTATTTTTAATGTTAAAAATCTTGATCCAATATGTTTTACTAATGCTCTTAGAGTTATGACTTGGCTGCACCTACCCTGAAAATTTCATTTCCTGGTTTGATTTATCTGTCACGCTGGTGTGCTTTCACACCAGTAATTCTGAGTCCTATAACTGGTGGAAACTCCACAAACACATATTTTTTGGGGGCCTATCTAAATGTGTGGTTTGCAATCCCAGCCAAATGCAATACAGTTATATTTGAATTTTGTTATCTGCATCTTCCTTTCCCTCTAGCAGTTATTTCAAACCACTGTGACACTCTTCAAATCTCCTATTACATCTCCTTTTTTCAGGAGATGAAAATCTAAACAAAACTGCTTTTAATTGCCAAGCCCTTCTACTACCAATCAATTTGTCTATATTCACATTTGTTTTATCTTGCCCCTCTGGTTCATGGCCCTTTTTTTCTGCCTCAACTCTGATCTCAGCCCTGCCAGAGCCTTAGCCGATCAGCCCTACCTCCTTTACAGCTTTCACTCCTGCTCAGTCCTGGCTTCTTTGTTCTGCTGATACACATGCTCAAGTCTCTTCCACACTAAAATGCTGACTTCCTTGGGCCAGCAATCAACTGCTAGTAAACATTGGCATCTCTCTCCTTACCACAGCCAATGTATTCATAAGGGAATTTCACACCAGATGACATTATGTACTTAATTTTTTAAAAATTATTTTATACCAAGAGCATAAAGAGATGACAAGGAAAGATGAAAACTCTAATAGGTAAATGAGTGTTCATTTTCAGTATTAAACAAAAAATAACTAATTTGCAATGATGATCAAATAATGTTTTTCTCCAATCAGATTGAGGGATATTAAGGAGAATGATATTAGTCAGCGTTTATAAGGCTCAGGAAAATAGATAGAGTCTGTAATATACTCCTGATGGCAGTGTGAATTGCAATATAATTACTCTGGTGAGTAAGTTGCTTATTTATATCAAAGAACTTAACATATGTATTCCTTTTAGCTCAACATTTGAACTATATAAAATGGATCACAGCAGTAGCAGTTTTAGTAGAAGTAATAATAATAGTTGAAAAGATAAAATTAGTAATATACAATAGATTTAAAATGTGTTTGGCAAAACTAATGAGTTGATTTTTACTTCAGACCCACATTATTTGATTATTTAATAAAAAGTGATAAAAAACTCCAAACAATCTAATTTAAAAACATGCATCTTCAATCTGACAGGAAAAAGAGAACAAGCTTGATTATAACCAAAATTTAATCCAAATATGCTATTTATAAAGAAAATGGGGAAAGGAAACAATATCAGAACACTTGAAGTTCTATAAACTTTTAAGGACCAAGCATTGGCATATTTGAATAATAATCATAAGAATCTTACTAATCTATTAATTTGCATTTTTGGCTTTACAGGTCAAATGAGAAGAATTTGACTTGTTACACAGATTTTTAATTTTTGATTCTGGTTCCACCATTTACATCCTATGATTTCAAGATACCTCATCTTTCATACCTTATGATTTTTCTTAGTGGATCTCTACCATGTCTACTATCTCTATAATACATTGATTCTATGATCAAATACATTTGATTAATAATTACAAAATAACATAGGTAAAATATAAGAAAAACAACTTACTTGTTAGTATGACATCGATTAAAACATGTTCATCTGTGGGATTTTTGAAAATTATAGCCAGAGATGCTAGCTGCTGAAGGTAGGTGGTGATTCTTTCTATTTCTAGAGGCTGGGGAAATAGTCCTATTCCAGAAAGGAGAAATTTCCATTCTTCAAACTGTTTAAAGATAATCATGCATAACATATATGTCATAATTCACAACACTTAATAAATTTAATACATGTAAAAATTTTGGCAGATAAAAAACTTTGGTTAATATTTAACATGCCCTGTTTTATCTTTTCCTCCTTTTTAAAATTCCTTTTGATTTTACTGAAAAATCAATGTGTTTTTACATTGATAAAAAGGAGAGCACAAGGGTATTTATAGCAGCATTAAAAATATATCTTAATGAAAACCTTGCATTTCTGCTCAAGGTTGATGTTTCTTTAAGTCAACTTGTCTAACAAATGAGGTACTAAAAATTGCACAAAGTTTCCAAAATCCTAGGGTGAATGTCAAGTGGAACTCACATAGTTTTCATGATCACATGAAGGCAAAGAAGGTGAGGCACAGATCGATGTCCCATTAAAAGGCAATGTGTACAACTGTATGCACAATAGATTGTGATTCAGTTCGGCACTGAATACTAATGTTGTAAAGGAATGAAGAGGTCGGTAAATAAAATCCAACAAATGCAACGGCCTAGTTTATAATCTTTCTAACTACATAGACGTTTCCAAACCTAAATTCCAGTAAGAAGAGGGAAACTTACTTTAAGATTGTTTCAAAGTGGGACAGGAAATGATACAAAGCTATCTCTGAGTAGGGATGAATAAAGGCAAGTTTTATCTGCATATTATCTTCAAATGACTGCATTACTTTTAGTTAGAGATTCTACTTGCAAAATGTAAGTTCACTAGATTTTCACTTATGATGTCCTAATTTGATTACATGTAATTGGCTGGCTGGGTTAAATTAAATTACGAACAATTTATGTAAATTACTTATTTTTTGGCTACTTAATTAAATAAATCCTGTATGACAGAAATGAGGTTACTTTGAGCCATTGGGAATGAGCCAAAGTACAAAAACAAGAAGGTCACGATTTCATGTCTTTGCCTAATGGCCTGGAGTATTAGAGCTTTTAAGTTAAACCTCCTACATCCCACCATGATGGAACACTAGTATACAACACTTGCCCTAGCATTGCTTAAATTATCCTCTTGGGTTCAGAGAGGAAAAATTAAAAAGTATCCCAACAAAAATGTGCATTAAAAAATAAGTAACATTTCTTATCCCATCTTTATCTCAAACTTCTTTGAAAGGAGACACAGTAAAAAGAAACTTTAAAGATCCAATTCCAATGTTTCTGAGAGAAAAAAAGTAGAGTTAAAAGATAGTAAAACTGGCTTGCACACTGAGTATAGCTCAAGGGCATTAGAACTGGCTAAGAAGCAACAAAGTTTTCCATAGACAGTATGCAGGATCATAGACAGGCTGGGAGATAATACCACTCTGACTTTGTCTTCTTTCCTTAATTTTTGCTAGTCTGACCTTTAGATGCAGTGAGTCACACAGTGAAGTACAAATGAAACAAATACTGGCAACTATTCGAAAATAAAAATGAAACAACTGAAAACCAACAAAAATATCTCAGAAGGCCCCATTACCACATTTGCTGCTTACTACTATTCCTATTATTCTGATAGGCAGGAACACAATCTCATTTACAGAATCCAGCAGCATAATATGAGTTCATGATATATGTAGTTGTGGTATCCTAACCAAATTAATCTGAGGATTCAAAATCTTGACAATCAACTTTAGCCTAAAATTGGATTTTGACAATGCAGAGCTCTGTATACGGATTCAAATCAGAAATCCATGAAATAAATAAAAATCTACAGCCATTTCCTTAAGTTCAGCAAAGAGCAACAATCAGAAATACTTAAAACTCACCCTAAAAGAATTGCCATTACTAGATTTTCGATTAATCAGCTACTTAGTTGTACATGTCAATTCAAATGTATTTATCAGTGAAATCAAGAGAGGGACAGAAATCTACATGAATTTTTCCTTAAAAGTTAAGGTAATTGCAAATTCTTAGAAGCGCAAACCCGAAAACTTTATTTAAAAAACTATCTTCCTCATATGCCTACACTTACATAATGCATATTGTATTTTCCAAAGTTCATTCAATTAATACTTTAGGATGATTGGATAAATAAAAGAGGAAGACTCGAATGATTCAGAGATGGGGGAAAAAAAGGATAAAAAAAGAAAAGCCAAAACAATCAGAAAGGTTAGGGTAATACGTTTAAAAGGTTGAAGGGCCCTGGGTCTGGACCCTGTAGCTGAAAGGATGAATGAATGATGGGCCAAAGTCTAACCACAGATGAATCCTTGGAGATTTGCTACAACTTGGAGGTGCTGGGAGCAACTGAAATCAAGCACCAATGTAAAATTGATTTATAAAAGGCTTGAGTTCATTACTTGTCTGAGTTCTTTGTGTTTGATTAAGAATTTCACATTCAGTGTCTAGGCTAGGATTTTCTAAAGCTATTAAGATGGAGAACTGGTAATTGCCCTGCTAATGTGCCTGATTATCCTTGAGCAGATATAATTTCCATCAGAAATACAAGCTACTAAATTGTCCCCAATAATTAAGTAAGATGAAGGGGCTAAACCTGCTAAGAAGCAATTATTTAAAAGTGTGCCTTCTTAAAATTATGTGTGTAAAATAATATAATCTCCACTGTACTTTCCCTTCTGTAGGAAAAGGATTACTATTTGTTTTCTTTAATATTTCTGAGGCACACAAACTTCCATAGTATTGCTTCACGTCATGTATAAGTCAATAATCATGTAGGAAATTTAATAGCCTCATTTTTTTTTCTAAAGGTTACACATTGTTTTAGAAAAGAGGATACTTCAGTCACACACAAGTCTTGCACTAACATTGGGACCCAAGTATTATATGGGATTCCACTGCCCCTCAGATGGCAGGTTCCTTGGTGCCCCTTAGGATTTAAAGTTCCAATATCCATTTACTTTCCTCCCTATCAACACTTGAAGAAGTACAAAATAATAATAAATGTAAAAGGTTATGTAAAGTTTTCATTGGCAGTAAGAGAGTTTTAATCAATTGGCCATCTGTAGGTAGTTGTAAAAATAGTCATGAAAATGGGTTGAAGCCAGACATGCTGGGTTGAGGTTTGTGTTCAACCTCTTACCAGCTACCTGATCTTTATTTCTATGTCTCAGTTTCCTGATCTGTAAAATGGGGTTAATAATCCTTTCACCTTAGGACTGTGGTGAGAATGAACTGAGATAACAGCAAGCTTAGAGATGCTTAAAAAATGATGAAAAATTTTTGTTTTTAAAAATTACTATTATTCAGAAAAATTATTATCCAAGAATGCTGTACAGTTGAAATAAAGTGAAAAAATAACATGATATTTGCAAGATCACATTTTCTACAGTTTATATTTAAGTTCATGAAAATTTGGGTAGTGACACCCAAGTCAGAAAATTAACATAAATAACAGCAATTTTGAATTTACATAAAGATATATATATATTTTAAAATCTGGGTGTATATTCTCCTTCACTCAAGCAATCTAAGGACATAAAAATGCCTCTTTTAGATGCTTGCACATGCATGATGTATATTATATTTCCAAAAGTTCATTTAATTATAGTTTATAATAAGCTTATTCTGCTTGCAAAAGATGTCAACTGGATGAATAAGATTTACTTATTTGTTGACTTTAAAATTTAATTAACTTGACTTGGACTAAGAATACTCTATCATACCTGAGCACAGTAGAAGGTAAGAGTAGCTTGCTGACCAGCTCTTCCAAGAGCAGAAGGACAAAAGCGAACACGTATCCTTTCCGTGGAGAGAGGAGCCATGGTCAGCTGTGTAAATTTAGAAAGAATAAAAAGAGAAACAAAGCAATTAATACTTTGTTTGAGTCAGCATCTTTGTGCACTAGATGTATGCTGGGTTGATATCTGTGTGATCAATATATTGCCTTGTACACTATCCAATCTCATATGTCTGCTTGACAAATATTGGTAAAACATCTGCTGGTAAACACTGTTTAACAGTGCTTGTGCCATGGCCTTTCCCCAGAAAATGACCACATAGAGTTAGTAACTCTATGTAAAGAAATCTAAATTAAGTTTCTAATTTGAGTTAGCGCCTCCTGTAATAGAAATATGCATTTCATTTAAGACTCATAGTTTATTGTCCATTCTAAGATACAAGGCAAACACTGGGCACCTAACTTGTAGCCTTGGTGATGTCAAAAGAAATGAACTGATTATAAGCATAGATGTAAGTCAAACTTCTTTAGTGTACCATGAAGTTTTCTTCTTTGTCCTATCACATGCACATTCAAGGTGTGATCTGCTAGAATAATTTGATTCTGAACAGTATTAGTTTATTACTTCTTTAGAGATTGTGAGTCAGCTACTTCATCACAACATAGTGAGGAACTGAGTATCTCATGTACACAAAATGCTACACTGTGAATAATATGGTATTTAATATCAACACTAATAGAAGGAGTGGCACAAATCTGAAAAATAAATCAATTATTTTTTCACTAATTTATTTTGCCAGATAACTCTTGAAAAAGTAAAATTGCAATTTAGCAGTGTTATTCAGTCCTTGTTAAATATAGCACTTGGTTCTCAACAAACTCTGATGACAATGGAATCCATATACAGGCTTAACTTTATATTTAGAACAGCATTACATCCTTATGGTGTATAAGTGTGGTTTAGCTACAGCAAATATTTTTATCTCAGACTGGTTCTCTGATACTTCAAATATTTGGAGGTTGTTAGTTAATGAATATTTAAGGAGTATAAATTAATTTTAGGATCGACCTTAGCAAAAAATTTTGCATTTCATATATTCGTTAAATTTAGCAAACATGAAAAAAGTTTCTC